ATCTCATGGCCTCACTGATGCCTATGTCGGCGGAAAACTACCCGAAGGCCATCGAACTTCTGCTTAATACATACAACAGACCGGACGTTCTGCGCAACAGGCTCATCGACCAGCTGGAGGCACTGCCTCCCTCGGGAAAAGCCGTCACAGAACAACGTATTACATTATGCAAAGTTAAGGCAATATGGGTCCAGCTTGCCAACCTATCTGAGCAACCTGGCTCAACGATGACAATGAGGATGGTAAGGTCAAAATTTCCAAGGAAGACAAGGGAAAAGGTTGGGGAGAGACGTCGAAAAGGTGCCACCTGGACTACAGATGACTTGATCGAAGCATTCGATGAAGTCATAGACCAGCTGGAAATCATCGAGGACACGGATCCAACCCCAACTTCAAAGTCTCGATCACACGCAGTCAATAGTTCAAATACTCCAGTACAGGGTGAAAATCGTGTCGAGGAAATAACCGCCTCTTTACGACCCCCCTCCAAAACATGGACTCTGATACGACCCCTTTTTGTCCTCTGCACATCCGGTTTCATATCAAAAAATGCTAGTTTCAGATGTGCGAGAGGGACGCAGCGCCGCTGCCACGCAAATGCGGCTTGATCCAAATGCTAGATTCAATTCTTTCTTTCCTTTAAAGACATTTAACCTTTGCCACATTGGCCGGAAAGTGGAACATTGAAGTACTAGCCGTTCAACTGAGACTGTTCAACTGAGTAGGTGCTGCCCCTACACAGTTGAACAGTCTCGCGCTCCAGTATAGCGGCGCTAACTACCCGCGATCGCGTCGCGCGCTGTGCCTAGAGCGCGCTAGTTGGAAAAATCGTCAAATGTACCCCCTATTTAAAGGACTATAACTTTCTTCATTGATAACCATTTCAGAAAGTGAAGGCAGCTTTTGAATGCACAAGACTTCTAGTTTCTAAATTGTGCTGAGCGTTTTTCTAAGCACGCCTATTCTCGAGAGTGGGAGACGTCGAGAAATTGTCGAGGAAATTGAAATTTACATGCGAGTTCCCACTCTTTGGAAGACAGTAGCTGTCTTCATTGGCAATGCTTTGAAAATCGGAGGAAAGCGTTGTAAAGTAGAAGATTTACGCTTTCTGATAGGTGCTCCAGTTGTTTCGAACGCTTTCTAGTTCGCGAGAAATCTGCGTCGAGGAAATGTCAAGGAAATTTTCGAAGCCACTCGAAAACTCTATTACTCCCTCGCCGTAGTAGGGAACTTCTTTGAACACCTTCAAAATACTTCTGTACACGTCAGTTCGATGGAGTAAATTGAAAATGATGCACTTGGCGCCATGCAGTGACCCCACTCGGAGTCATTGGGAAGGTGTTTTGTCCTAGTGACGACTTGCTTAAGCACACCAAAAGATATTTCCAGTATTAACTAATTAGGATAACTCTTGTGGTCATAGATGTCTGATCATTCCTTTATTCAAATCGCTTCCTTTCCAACCCGTTCTGATGAATGACACGCTTGCGGTTGCAGGATCTGATGATGCCAAGAAGGCTGCGAATCTGCCTGTTTTGAACTTTCTACCAAGATGCTGTTCCTCCACTAAGTTCTCGAAGCATGTACATCATTCTAGAGTAGATACTCCCTTTCCCTGCGATTTTTTGCACTACGAACCAAACCAACAACCACTTTCCATTTAAATTTTAATTCCAGACAGTTGTAAGATATTATTTGCATTAGGCTAACTACAACACTTGTGAAACTAATGATGACAGCAAATAAGTGGCAGCAGCACCGTTGTGTCCGTTGATGAACCTTTTGATTACGACCCCCTCCCAACTCTCATCGGAGCAAATACGACCCCCTGTCGAGGATTTCCTCGACCGTTATTCACCCTGCTCCAGTACGCTTCAAAAAATACACGCAAGGAAAATCACGGAGGGATAGCAGCACTGACTCCAACAGAGGCGCGCATTCGAAGCGGACCTTCCGTAGCAAGGACAAGCCCAATAATACAAAACAACAAAGGTGCAGTTTCTGTCTACAACCCAGACACAAAACTGCAAACTGCGATGAGGTGACTTCTCCTTACGAACGAAGGGAAGCTGTAATACATAATCGCCTATGCTGGAAGTGTCTTAAGCCAGGACACAAGAGTCAGGACTGCGAGGCCCCGGCGTGCTACAGGTGCGGTCGAAACCATCATAAATCCCTATGTCTTCAGCGAAGATCCTCATTGAGTCCGAGAAGACCAGGTAGCCCAGGGAACAGATACTACAGAAGGAATAGTTCAGTCGACAGTTATTCATCGGAAGTAAGCAGGAGAAACAGGTCAAGGTCTTCTTCTCGATCCCCGAGTCCAGACGAGAGAGGAAGATCTCCTACGCGAAGAACAAGGCCTTATCGTAGAGGATCTCCCCATCCGAAGGTCGGATTCCGGAATCAAGCAAGAACCTATGCCTACTCTAATTCATCCCCTACTCCAAGCTCGGATCGTAGCCAATCCAAGCATATGGCGAACTCTGAACTAGATTCCAGCTCAGAAGAGCTCGAATCTACAGCTGTCCGCGTTAATACAGTTAATACAAAAGCTATTATAACTCATACTTCAAACAAAAAGCAGAGGTCCAGTAAGGACAAATTAAACAAAATGCTTAGTCCACCGCAACTCATGGTAGTTCAAGCACTGACAGTAAACAAAAATACGAAGTCTAAGC